CAACTGGTAGTTCTGTGAGTGGAATAAAAGCGTAGTGTCTTTCCTCTTGTCCTGCTTGCTTAGGCCTCAGTGCTTCCATCTTCTGACGCTCCCTCGGAAAAGTATGCACCACTAGCCCATTCTTTGTCCACCTGACTTTCCGGCGGTGGTGGTGGGAATGGTGTACATCCGGAGCAGTTTTTCCCTTTGGTCTCTTAGGTTTACTCACAACGTTTTTGTTTGAACTGTGGCAAAAATCTTTCCCAATTTTGTGATCTTAATTCAGAATCTGTCATTAAAGTTTTAATGTTGTATATTGGATAGATATTCTTTAAAAGTATCTAGGACTATTTTCCCAAGCGCTTTTAAGCCATTGATGGGTCTGATGGTTGGAACTGTTTCCCTGAGCCATGATATAACAGTTGGTTAACTGCTGCAATGCCTTCAGTGTAGATCCTCTGGGACTAATAAGCAGGTGTCATCTTTTTACAAATCTTTTTATTTTGTACTACAGACCCCATTTTAATGATGTCATATGCAGCAGCATTCCGAAGACTTTGTAGTGCCAGCTCGAATGAAACACTCCTCCCTGAAAGTTTTGTGAAGTCTTTGGACCTCACGATGTATTTATCAGAAGTCTCCTTTGTTGTCCAAACAGTCACGCTGCCTTCATTCAGGTCCAAGTTTGCATGAACTTGAGGTTCATTCGAGGCCTTCTGCACCAACAGCCAGCTTTCTTTCAAGTGAGCCGCTCTCTGTTGGGGAACAAAGTTGCCAAACGGCTCGCCTCCAATACTCTGGGATTGTCTTCTTTGGAGAATTCTGGCTCCTTCTCACCATCCGGAACAGTGAGGAGTCAACTCGGTTTTCTGGCTTTGCCTGCTGGTTAGGAAAAATCTGGCTTTTCCCAGTTGCTGTTCCGCGAGGAAGAAGCCATCTTAAAAAGAAAAAACAACAACGTTTTTTGAAATCTATTTAAAATTAGTTTTCTTTGAAAGAGTAGATTTTGTCAGATAAACTCAATAATCGTCCAGAGCTGGCATGGATTGGTGTTGCTTCCTCATGTTGTGGCTGATGATGAAGCAACAAGTTCAAACTAATTGCAACTTTGACTTGTCTGTGTGGACACCCTGTGCTCAGTGGGTGTCACTGTGCTTCTGGTATGGCCTTTTTCTTTAACGTCATCTAAAGTAGCAAGCAATTCCTTTCCTTCTGCTACTGCACCTAATATTTTATTTTTCATATTTCCCATTCACTCAAAGGTAATAGATTTCCTCCCACCCCCCTTTTCCTTTTCGGTGTTTGGAATAAAATGCTGGAAGACAACTCTCCGTGAATAGCTTACATTTCTGCAGGGTCCAGATCTGAGTGAAACTATTGATGGTCAAAATACGAAGATTTGTAGAAAGAGACATTTCAGGCTAGTCCAGCTAGACTCTTCCCTAGAGACAACCCAAGGAAGGTAAGAGGAAGCCCTCTTCTCTTGCTCAGGGACATTTTCTTACATCCGGGCGCTGTGAGTAATCACTCTGGAGGGGAGGTGGGGTGGGTGGCTCTGTCAACCGTCTCATAAAAGTCCAGGGGCTTAAATTAGAGGGCTTCTCTTCTGTGGGGTGACCCCTGTGTACATAGGTATCTGCCCCTTAGGTCAGTGTGTAGAGAAACTAATTCCCCCAACCCCCTCTTTGTTTGCTATAATAAATCGTATGTCTCTGACCCAGTGGTCTCATGTTTTTTGTCAATATATGCCGGTTTCTTTTCCCATGTGAAGTAGCAGTCATGGGTTCCAGGATTAAGACCTAGTTATCTTTGGTGTGAGGTATTACTTAGCTACCACGGTCTACCCGCTGACATCCAAAGATCCACATCACATCTGTCCCACATGAACAATAATATCCACCTAGCCTCTGGGCCTCAAAATGAGCCTTGGACCCACTACAGTATTACCCTTCCAAAATTGATGTAAATTAGGTATGGATGAGGCTCTGGGATTAATCAGCCCTGTGGACCTGTGACAGTAGGTTTTGTGCTGACAAAATAATAATGGTGGAGCAGGCATAAGGTAGCAGTCACAGACATTTCCATTCAAAAAAGGAGTTGCGGTTCCAAGCATTGTTGAAACTCAAGTGAGCGAACTCCCATCAGGTTTCTAGACTTGGTAGTACTTCTCTTGCCTCATGACTCTGCCCTCTGCTCCTCTCTCCTCTGGGCCAACAGCTTCACCTTCTGAAATGCTGTTTTCATGAAGAAAAGCACAGGGTTGCTGTGGTGTACATTTATAAAACCATTCGTCAGGTGTAAGATTTGAGAGTCCATTAGTCTTCCCTGACTAGTTTTGGTCAAGCCTGGCATTATTATGCTGGTGTAACATTTTCAAAAACCTTATGCATCTCTTGTATATGGGTTGAATTCCCAGGGATTTGCTCCATCAGGACAGATGTTTCTCTACAGATTATCCCTGGGAAATTCCGAAACATTGGCTTCAGTTGGGATGGCTGAGGGGGTCTTTAGAGGCAAATGCTTAGGCTCTTCAAAGAGCCTCTGTGTAAACTGGATATTCTGACTTGTTCCGTCCTTCCCTGGCACTATCCTGCTTGTCTAGTACAACAGTGGCCTTTTCATCCGTGTATTATTTCTTGATGGTGAAGCAACTAACTTTAGCCTCTTGCATTCTGGACAGACAGAATTTCTCACATCAAGTCCTGGTTCGCTTTGGCTTAACAGTGCCTCCTTCAACGTATTATGTTGCTTTTGCATTTTTTCTTTTTTATGCAGCAAGGAGACAGCAGGTAAAACCTCGAAGACTTGGAAGTCTCCTCAGTTTACCTTCCAACTTTATCACAATATCAATTTCCTGGGAATGCTGCAACAAGTCTTCACAAACTGGGTGGGCTAAGACAACAAAATGTATTGGCCCACAATGCTGGAGATGAGAATTAGGAGAATAAGGGGCTGGTAGGGCCATAGGTGGCATAGTGGGTTACATGTTGGGCTGATCACCTCAAGGTCAGCAGTTCGAAACCACCAGCCACTCTGCGGGAAAAAGATGATGCTTTCTGCTCCCATAGAGATCGACAGTTTCAGGAACACACAGGGCCAATACTGCCCTGCCATATGGAGTCACTGTCCCTCAGAATGAACTCACTGGTAGTGTGTTTAGTTTAGGCAGGGCCATGCTCACGCTAAAGATTGTAGGGAAGAATTCTTGCAGCTTTTTAGCTTCTGGTGTTTGTCAGAAAGTCTGGCATCCATCCCTTGGCTTGCAGCTGCATCACCCTGACCTCACTTCCATCTGCACAAAAGCTTCTCCCATGTATCTGTGTCTTTGTATCTAAGTTTCCCTCTTTTCATGCACACTCATCATGTTGGATTAGGGTCCACCTGAATCCAGTATGGCCTCAATTTAATGACATCTACAAAGGTCACATTTCTGCAGAACTGGTACATGGATCAAGAGGCAGTTGTGCCAACAGAACAAGGGAGTACTGAATGGTTAAAGTCAGAAGAGGTGTGCACCAGGGTTGTATCCTCTCACTATACTTATTCAATCTGTATGCTGAGCAAATCATCAGAGAAGTTGGATTATATGAAGAATTCAGCATCAACATTGGAGGAAGGCTCTTTAACAAGCTGCCATATGCAGATGACACATTTGCTTGCTGAAAAGGAGGAGGACTTGAAGCACTCGCTGATGATAAAGGATCGCAGCCTTCAGTATGTATTACAACTCAAATGTATGGAAGACCCAATTCCCCACAACTGAACCAATTATGATAAATGGAGAAAAGGTTGAAGTTGTCAAGGATTTTGTTTTCTTGGATCCACAATTAATGCTCACGGAAGCAGCAATCAAGATCAAAAGATGAGTTGCATTAGGTAAATCTGCTGCACAGACCTGTTTAGAGGGTTGAAAAGGAAGGATGCTACTTTGTGGTCTAAGGTGCACCTGATCCAAGCCATAGTCTTTTCATTTGCCTCATATGTATGTGTAAGTTGGGCATTGAATAAGGAAGATTGAAAAAGTATCGAAGCATTTGAATTGTGGTGCTGGAGAAAAATATCAAAAGTAACCTGGACTGCTAAAAAAACAAGCTGAGCAGTCTTGGAAGTACGGCCAGAGTGCTCTGGAGAGGCAAGGATGGCAAGAATTTATCTTATATACTTTGGAGACCAGTCCCTGGAGAAGGACATGATGCTTGGTATGTGGAGGGACAGCAAGAAAGAGAAAGGCCCTCAAGGACATGGATTGACACAGTGGCTGCAACAATACACTTAAACATAAAAATAATGGTGAGGCTGACACAGGACCTGGCAGTATTTCCTTATGTTATGCATAGGGTCACTATGGATTGGAACCAACTCGATGTTACCCAACAACAACAACAACTGCTCAATTCTAGTACAGTCACTAGTGACTGTGGGGTGCAACTCACACATACTTTCCAGGGTAACAAAAACCACAAGTAGCTGACTTACCAAGCAGAAATGTATTTTCCCTCAGTTCAGGAGGCGAGAAGTCTGAATTTAGAGCACCAGCAAGAAAGGAAAGCTCTATCTCTGTGCTCTGGGGGGAAGAGCCTTACAACATTCAAAGCCTATTGTACTAGGTTCAGTTCTCCATAGAGGCAAAACTAGTGATGCATGTGTGTCATATATATGTGTTTATATCAAGAAATGACTTACAGTTGTAGAAGCAGGCAAGTTTAGTCCAGTTCAAGTCCATTGGTCAGATGTGAGCTGAAGGCTTCTCTGGCTCATGTGGAATCTGATGAACAGACATCAGGATGTCAATGTAGGGGGCCATGGGCCGGTGAGTGCAGGGGTGAATGAATCTGGGATCAGCAATGAATCCAAGGTCAGCAGTCTGATAACAGCTTGTGGGATGAGCAGACAACACAACAGGAGATTGATGAAACACGTGGCAGCCAGTTCCAGCCGAGGTGAAGCTTGGCTCTGTTCAGGATATCTCTCTTAATGCAAAAGGCCACACCCCTAAGGCTGTGTCATCAGGCTGAGACTTGATGGATAGGTTGGATTCCACCCCACCCTTCACACAGTGTCTAGTTGACTAACCATGACACCTATTGAAAGAAAAACAGGCCAACCTTGAAGATATTGTGGGTTCGGTTCCACACCACCACAATCAAGTGAATATTATAATAAAGTTAGTCACATGATATTTTTGGTTTACCAGGGCATATAAAAGTTATACTGGAGGATGATGATGGCAAAAAATGTACAGATGTGCTTGACACAATGAATGTATGTATGGATTGTGATAAGAGTTGTATGAGCCCCCAAGAAAATTATTTTTTAAAAAGTTATACTGGCACTATTCTGTAGGTCACTAAATTTGCAATGCCAGAAGACCCACCTCAAATCTGCTGTCATTGAGTTGATCCTGACTCAAATAGTGACCCTATATAAGGGTTCTGAGGCTGTAAATCTAAAGGAGTAGATAGCCTCATCTTTCTCTCACTGCTAGTGGGTTTGAAGCACAGACCTTGTGGTTAGCAGTCAAATGCTCACCAAAAACCACCATGGCTCATTCAGTGTGCACCAGCATCCTGGAATGTTTGAAATACTGTGAGAATGACCATGTGATAGGAGCATATGCGTTGGGGAGAAAATGGTGCTGGTAGACTTCCTCAGTGCAGGGTTGCCACAAACCTTCCATTTGTAAAACATACAGTGTACATGAAGTACAATATGGGAAGCATGACTGTACACCACCCAGCCCTTCCAAAGCCAATGGCTGAAAGGTGGAAAGTGCACCAAATGCTAAAGAAATCAACCTTTTTTATAAGTAGCTGACAGTTCTCAGATTTACTGGTGTCTGCTTCTGTGATTACTTGCAGCCTTAGAAACCCACAGAGCAGTTCCACTTTGTTCTACAGCAGTGGTTCTCAACCTGTAGGTCAAGACCTCTTTGTGGGTGGAATGATCCTTTCACAGGGGCTGCCTAAGACCATCAGAAAACACGTATTTCTGATGGTTTTGATCTTAGGAACCGAGACACTGCTCCTCTATCCATCTGCAGGAGGGTCTGCCCACATGCAGATATGCCCATATATGAGTACCCAGTGTGAAGACAGTTACTTATGATACACCATGCTTCAAGACAACATTTCATTTATTTATAATTAGAAATAAATATTTCACAATATATAATTATATATTGTTTTTATGATTCATCACTATGCTTTATGTTCAATTTGTAACAATGGAAATACATCCTGCAGATAAGATATTTACAATATGATTCATAACAGTAGCAAAATTACAGTTATGAAGAAGCAATGAAAATAATTTTATGGTTGGGGGGTCACCACAACACGAGGAACTGTATTAAAGGGTCATAGCATTAGGAAGGTTGAGAACCACTGTTCTATAGGGTCACTGAGTTGCAATCAATTCGATGGCAATTGGTTTGAATTGTGAATGACCCTCAAAATGTTCCATGCCTAAAGTAACAATTCCTCTGGGGATCCTCAAAATTGTCTATAAGCTGCCACATGATCACCAACTGCTTTCATTTACGACTGACTACATGTTACTTGAACATCCTGTACCCTGCTTTCACAAATGCCATCACTTAGAGTCTTTAACTTCCATGTTCTACCAGTATAAACCCTTGACTTCCTGTAGCCATAGTTCTTTTCCACTTATGGTGGTCTAGATGCTGCCTGATTCGTGACTTGTTTGGCCCTTCATAGATAGACGTATGTGCTCTCTGAAATGTTCTTGGACAAGCCCCTGTGTTCTTCAGTTCCTTGAAGTTCCTTCAGTTCCTTCAGTTCGCTCTCTCCCCATTATGTGTTTGCTGGTCTGTGTCGCTGTTACTACTTATGACTCAGAAATAATCATGTTTAGGATGCATCCTGCACTGATGTGCCAGAATGAATTACCAGTATGTTGTTGTTTTAGGCTATTGTGTCAATTCTGACTTGTAGTGACGCCAGGTGACAGAGTAGAACTGCCCCATCGGGTTTCCTAGGCTATAATTTATGGGAGCAGATTATGCCAGGGCTTTTCTCTCAGGGAGTGATTGCATGGGTTAGAACCACTCACCTTTTGGGTTAGGATCCCAAAGCATAATTTTCAGGGACACAATTCAATCAATAACCAGGATGTAGGAATATTATTTAGGAATGTGGGGGTAAATAAGGGAGGGGAA